AAGCTCCAGGTTAAAATAAAGGAAGTTCCAAAACTGGGGAACCTGTGGGGATGGAGACAACCCCCAACAGACGTGGAGGGAGGCTGAGGGTGGACAGAGCTGGCCAGGGACAGCAGGCTGCAGAAAGCTTGCCCTGAGAAGGGGCAAACATAAAAGTTTTCTGAAGAGGGAAAAGCATGCCTGACATGGATTCAGAGTAGCAAGTAGAGTTTTTAAGAGAAAGGTGCTGCTTGAGGAAAAGTTTATTGGTTTCTGGGCAGGATTTAGGAAAAGCAGCTTGAGGCCCTAACAAATTAAATAAAATAATTAAATTAAACCAACAAACAAAAAAATACCCCACCTCAGAAAACTATTGTTTGCTTTAAGATAAACTTCCAATTCAGAAATCTTGTTCTGTAGAGTGTTTTTTATAGAAAGCAAACAATGTGAATGTGTGTGTACATAATACATACAAACATGTGATGCCTGGACTGGCAGTGTTGTCCATCTGATGTCCGTATATAATTATTCTCTCCCTTCCCTATCTTACTGTTTATGCAGTAATTTTCACAGCATCATGAGACCTTCTTTATAGGAAAACCCATTTAGTTATTTTGTTTAGAGTAATTTGAAGGTCAAGAAGCAGTTTTAAATACAGTTTCTAAGAAACACAGTTGGATTTACAGTCATCACTGATCTTATAAAACAAAACTTTATAGTTGATGCCACCTGGCAACTATATGCAAAAACTACTCTAAAAGTGTGAGAAATACAGATTTATATGAACTTACATATGTTTTGTTAAAAAATATATTTTTCACACTTTATTATAAGTGGAACTCAAAATGAGAACGCACAAAATTTGGAGACACTGGAAACATCTATGCACCAAGTTACAATTAGTATTAGCAATCCTTAAAAGTCCACCAGAGAAAGCAGTGTATCTAACTGAAGAATTAAATTAATATAGCTGCCCACTTGTGCTCTATATCTGAAAGAAATACAGATGACTTGTCTAAGCATGTAAAATCTCTTGTTTGAGATCTGGCAGCAAAAGGAAAAAAAGCTTATAAAACTGAAGCACAAGTGATACATCATAAGAACTCTTTACAAGAAGCTTACAACACAGTTTAATATCTACACAATCTCTTTAATAAATGGAATTTCCACTGATTATTTACAGATTTCAATGCTGTTACCATCTCATCCAGTCTTTCCAAGAGACTCTGCTTATGTAAATAAGGATTAGTTGTCAAACTTAATCATAGTAAAAGAAAAAATTATTGTTAAACTTGGCATCTAGAGGATATCTGTTTGCTGTCTTCCACTCACAGATGCTAAGGCAGTTTTGATTAGGACTTCAAATATTCCCAAAAGGTCTTTTCTGGAGGTTGCTGTACATGGTAGAGAGATCTAAACTAACTTCGGAAATGTGGCGCCGGGTACCAGAGGAGGGCTAACTGCAGCAGCATAAAATAATGGGCATTTCCAAGGAAGGTGTAGTAACGGAACAAAACATGGTGTGCAGCTCTGCACGATGTTTCTGGATCACATGGATTATCAGATCTGTTCCACATGGGAAACTTTTGTTCTCTAAACAGTCGCTTTCCCCTTAGAGATAATCGTTAAGGTGTCAAGTGCTTAAGAGTTGCTATTGATTTCAGCAGATAACAGGAATGAACTGAAGGTTTGGGGGTGAATAGAGTTATTCCTATCCAGTTGTTGCCCACTAGTATTTTAGAGGCTTTTCAGTGAGCTTAATCAGGAAGTCAAGGTATTAACTTAATTCCACATCAGTAGAGGCAGTACAGTTGTGGGTTGCTGTTGTCTTGCAACAAGTCACAGAGCGACATTTTCCAGGATTACACACTTTGATGGTTTAGTCAAAAATCCTTTCATATTTTGGCTCCACTTCAGGTATACCTACAGACTTTCCTTTTGTGATGTGTTGGACCAGAGTGACCTGTGCAAAGAAGTACAGCTGAGAAGGAGTGCAGGGGTGTGTAAGGATCTGTATACATATTATTACTGCCAGTACCTGCTGTGCAAACTGCCTGGCGTCTCAACGTGTGCTTCATCTGATTGAGGACAGTCAGGACTACACTTCATCAGTAAAGGCTTCCTGAGATTTTTGAAAGAAAATTTGTTTTTGCCATTGATGGCATAATGTGTGACATAATTACATGACTGTGCCCTTTGAGAAGTGTTCTTATGTGGCTGTCAGGAGGGCACTAGTTAAGCCCCTCCGTTGTATGTGATGAAGGAGTCACGTCTAGACTTTGTGAAAAGCATTTTCTATATGAGTAGTTAGAAGAATTAGAAATGTATTTTCTATCAAAAACAAAAATAGGTGATTAATTTGTCTTTTACAGATGCAATCTAGTTAAACCTGGTGTAATTGAAATAGGATTTTTTTTCATGTTTCCAAAGTGTGTTCTGATCCCAACAACTTATGAGGGAATTGGTGAAAACCCTGTTAAAATATGTCATTCTTGATTGATGTCTGTGTTAACCTTGAAAGGTCGAGATTCCTCAGGGAATCTGTTCCAGTGCTGTATTAGCCTTACCACTCACTAGCTTCACAAAAAGTTAACATAGTTCTTCCTTACTATAATTTAAGCCTGTTATTTTTAATATTTTCTGCCACTCACGTGAAGTGCAAATGATTCCTTTTCTAATTACAGAGCTATATGGGTATCTAAGTTAGAGACTGCTATCCTCTTCACAGACTGCTTTTTCTTCTTCAGGTTAAACTTTAACAGTCTTTTTAATCTTTCCTCATAAACTGTATCTTCCTGTACTCCAGTTACCATCATTGCTTCTCTAGACTCTGCTTAGTGGCCCACATCTTCAGGGTAAGACATGGAAGGACTTGTCCAAAACTGGGAGAAGTCCTTCAGCTGACACAGTGCCAGTGCTAAGTGAAGTGGAAGGATTAAATCATGCACTGCTTAGACCATTCGCCTTCCCGTACCCTCCAGTTTGTGGGAACTCTCTGGGAGAGGGATTTTTTTTTATTCACACACAGCAAACACAGTCAAGAATCTGGAACTATTTAATGTCTCTTGAAACTAAAAAGGAATTGTGTAACACTGCTGTCCTATGACTTAGTGTCCTTTTCAGTGGATTACTTGGTGTGGAGCGAGTGCCCTCTGGAGGTTAGGAAACATGGAGCTCTGTATGCTTTCATTCTGAAAAACAAAATCCACATGCTTTATAAATTAGTTGTTCTTACCTGAATAGGAGCTTAACTCTGACAGATAGTGGACATCTGCCACTCAGTATAGAGTTTGAGACCCATAGCTAGAGTTGAGGTTGCTCGGTATGTCTCAGAGTGAGGCGTGCAAGTGTAATGACTAAGTGTTATGCAATCAGCAATAAATATGTAGGCTCTGTGTGGCCTGTACAGTTTTTGGAAGAAGCTCTAGACAACGCAGCAACAAGGAAAGGCTTGATCTGCTCTCTCTTCTCCCTCTTTCAAATGTTTGAAAACAAACCAGCTCCTAGTGCAGTTTTCTGCTCAGAGGAGAGAGCAGAAAGCATTTTAGCTGAACAAGATGTCTTTTTTGAAGAGGAGGTTCCCATTTGGTGTGTCTGAAAACAGTTGTCCACCACAATTCATGTCTGCATGGAGTGGAATCAGCCCTCACCTGGACCTGATTGTATGATGTGGTCTTCCTTCTTCTCTAGGTACCTTAGCTGTCATCTTGAAAGCTTTAATCCTCCAGTTCTCACTACATCAAGAAAGAGAACTGCTTGGTGCTGTGACTTCAGTGAGTGGGATTTGTCTCTTTTTTCTAAAGTGTCTTTTTTTTTTTTTTCTTTTTTTTTTTTTACCAGAGACCACTTGGATGTTGACAGGGGTCACACTGTTCCAGACCACCTCTTGTCCTTTTGAACTGCCTTCTGCTGCTGAAGTCTAATCATAGGAACAAATAGCCTTAGCTGCAAAGCAATAGTATACACATCTCCATCTCAGTCTGGTGAGAGGTTGTAGCCCATTGTATCAAGGCAATGCTGATGGCTTCTATATTGGTCTCCACCTAGGACTGAGCATGGTCCTGTGGAAGCTACGTACAGTTCAAAAGGCTGATATTGTGTGTTCACACTCCATGCTCTGCTGATTGCTACAGAACAACAGATCATAAAGTTTGCATCTACGTAATGAAGATGCACTAGTGAACAGGCTTTAGGTATTGTGTTGATTTAGCTTGATGATGGTTTCCCTGGGCAACCACATTTTTTAGGAGCTATGAACCTGTTAAATTCAAGGTTGATGATCCTAAGAGTGCAAGACAGGTTGTTGGGCCAACATGCCTTCAGAGCGAAATGTGAAAGCCTGCTTCCTTGTCATTAGCTAAATGAGAAAAGAGTAAGAGAGGGGAATTTGAGAGCAGCAAACATAAAGAAAGAAAAAGGAAAACTAGTGTGAAAATTGGTGTCCGTCCCCCAGCAGGCAGGGGTGAAAAAGCACAGAACACGTCTCACATGCCTTAATTTTTACTGTTTAGAGACTTCATTCTTCAGAGCTTAAACATGCAGATGACAGGGGCTGATGAATCCTTGGCTAACTATGTGAAATGCAACAAGCTGCTGCATTCTATCGCACTGACTTTCAGAACTGAAAGTATGTTGTTTATATAAGGGCTCATCTGAGCAGGTCTCCATTAATTGTTTCGTTTAAGGAGATAAAAGTTCAGGAAGGAATTGCCTTTTGGCTATGATCTTGTTCTTTCTGATGTTAGTGGTAACTTTAGTAACCATGTAGACTTCCATGGGAAGATCAATGAGATCAGTAGTGGTAACTCTCTGTATATGGCCCAGTCACCCCAAATACGAAGAAGATTGTCTCCTACAGCATCGTTGGACAACATCCATCCTTGAGATTGAGCAAAAAATCCATGCTAGACAGTAGTATTGGTCTATCTGAGGAAAAGATTGAGGCATTTTTTACGTGCTGTGGAGTCTGTTGATTACAATCATTCAACTTACTTTGTTCCTGTTACATTTTTACTGAAGCACTAGGAAAGCTGGAGCTCACCCTCAAGTTTTCTCTTTCGTGATCCACTGCTGAAGAGGTAATCCATGTTTACCAGAGCCCTGCCAAGTTCAGTATTCATTCGACTGCCAATACTCTGGTTGGTCGAGTTGGGAACTTCGCTTGAGAACACAGGTATATAGTTTGGCAGTGGCTTCTGCTCCTTTTTATTACCCTGGATAAAACAAAGACCATTAATAAGTTTTCAGAATCACATCCATTGCTTGTTACGAAATACAAGTTACTGAGATTATTTATACCAGCACTTTTGCTTTTGAAATTAGAATTTGAATGTACTTAAAATTGTCATACCGAATGTACATGAAATTGTTGAAGAAATAAAGTAAAACAATTGTTTTTCCTGCCATCTTGCATGGGAAGAGGATAGCACAGGGAAATTAATAATTTTAAAATGTGTTGCATAAAATGTCAACTGGAGCAGAAGGTAGCCTGCTCTAGAACGGTCATGGTGTGGGAGGTTTTTTGTTTCATTTTTAGTGAGTAGCTTGGATTTCAGCATGATTATGTTATTTTACGAATTTTCTTCTAGGAAGTTGGTTCTTCTAGCACTTGTCTTTCTGTGGAGTTGTTAATATTGAAACAGATTGAATACATGCACATACTGTTTTTCTTTGTGGCGTGGGTAGCAGATGAAAGGCACTTCAGTTCTCTTTCATTTTTCCAAAAGATTTTAGTCTTAAAGCATTTGCTGATTATGCCTAAGTATGCTTCCATTTGAAATACTAACCTAGCTCAAGTTGATGGAAAGCAAAAAGGCCCTGGATTAAAGTTGAATGTTTGTTCAAGACTTACCATTTGGTCGTAGTCCTTTAGGAAACTCCAGTTCTGGTACCTTGGAGTAGAAGTAAAAAACAGTGTAAAGTTTTGTGTCTTTAAATAAAATAATTAATGTTGTGTGTCCTTGAATGCCTGTTTAACTGCTCAGTTTGATACTTGAAGCCCAGCTCTTATCCCTGCAAACACTTTGTGCTGAAACCTGTCTTTTCTGTGATGAACCCCAGAGTTTTCTTTATTCCCATATAAAGCCCATAGTACGTGAGTGGGGGTTTTTGCTAAAGGAAGATGAGGATAGCATCTCCACAAGGTATTCCTTGTGCAAATGCAGATAAATTAGCAAACTCCTGAGTCACTCTAGCAAACTTTTGTCCCATGCCTTGAGCTAGACACAGCTTCTTATTTTTCAAATAACCAGTACTCTGCTGGCAGGAGTCCTTGGTAGGAATTCCCAGAGCTGTACTTGCTGCAGGCAAATAACCACAGAAGTGTTCTGTGCAGATAGGCAGCTGTGCTAGGAGCAAGTTGAGTCAGAAGGCCTGAGTTTTGCTCTTCAGCTCTGTTCTATACCTGGTGTGGGATTACAGGGCAAGTCCTGTGATTTTCTGTCCTTTGCTTTCCCTGGCCTGAAATGAAGAGGACAGAAGTTCACCTGCTATTGTAAAGTCTGAGGTCAACAGAGGAAATGGTTATCTACAGCAGGGCTCAGGGACACCTGCGCTGACTCCCTGAGCTGGTTACCCGTGTCTGTGCAGTGTAAGATCATTGACCTGGCGCTGAAGCTGTACGTCCTTCCGAGCTTGAGCTTGTCTGTACAGCACAGCTATGTACCACATGGAGCTGGGAGCACTGGATTTCTGTGCTGCGCTCCCCTGTCCAGTGCAGATATGCCTTAAGTGCAAATAAAAGCGAATCTATGCTTGTTGTGTTTCTTACTATGTGTCTTTGTATAGCAGCACAGCCCTGAATTTTTTTATCTTTCTATGCCAGATGCTAGTTGAACATATCTGATTTGGGTGTTACTGGATGGTGCTAGTTACTGAGAAATGCTTGGGTCTCAGACATTTAGCTATGTCCACTTCAAGTCAGACCATGAACATATAACAGCCTTTCCCCATTATTGTTTTTGGGATGGGGATGTGGAGCTGAAGGACAGTTCTCTGCAGGCATTCTGATGAATCCAGCTTTAAGCATGTGTCCTTCACATCTCTGTCCTACTCTTTTACAAGAGTTTCTGTCTTCATAGCTAGGACTGGAGAGCAGGACGTGCGTCAGCTGTATGATGTGTTATCTCACTTACCTGTGAAAGTGAGTTTGCACCAATATCCATAACTGTGAACCCTGGGGGCAGGCACAGACAGAGAGTCCTTCCTGCTGCCTTGGCTGGGGAATGGGTATGGAGCATGCTGGGCACGTTTGGGAAGTCTGAGTACACAACTGGGAGAGAGTGACACTGCCACCATGGCCTTGTCTTTGCATGGATCAGAGCCCTGACATCAGCCTTTCCCTCAGGTAGAAGGAGCCAAACAAGAGTGCAAATATGTCTCTGGGGAAATCAGAGATGTGATTTGTATCATCTCCTCCGGAAGGCTGAGGAAGACAGGGGTTTTTAGATGGTTTCCCATTCTAAAAAAATCTGGAGAGTGATGTTTTTTCCTCCCTTTCCTTTACTGTGTTAGCGTACAGTTGGAACTGGATCTGATTTTACTTTTGTCCAGGGTATTCTTCTAATAGACATGCTTATGCTGCGTACTGAAGTATGAGCATGAACACTTACTCAAGATGCGTGGCAGAGACAGAGGATCCCGTTTTCGGGTTCCTTCAGGTCACTGGTGTATACACAGTCAAAGCTTAGGTTGTATGTGTGCAGTCTGCTGAAACACTGTAACAATGGGGCATGTTCAATAGATTTACAGATTGGGAATACAAAATCATATTTTGGCAGAACACTCTGTTCAGCGTCCATTTCAGTCATTTCCAAGAATATGAGAAGAAGAGATAATATCAGTCTGTCTGCAATAAATTATAAAGGTTGGCACATTTATATCTTCATTGTGGAAATCTCTAAAAGCTTAAAGATACTTAGCATGCAATTCTTTGCATCTCTTTTCAGCTTAAGCCCTGCATGCCAGGAGATATTATCGTAGATTGTGTCCAGTGAAGGAAAACAGGGACAATGTAATCTTGGACAGAAAGGTGTTAGGGTCTGATCCAAAGTCCCTGCAGAATAAAATTTCCCTTGATAGCGTAGGCTTTGGATCAAGCCCTAAGACTGTCAGGGAGCATTAGTACCGTTGTCAAGATGAGTAGAAGAGGTATGAACTGGAACAAGGGACTTACCAGATTTTTCTTCTTCTCTGTTCAGCCTCCACAGACTCTCTCCAGATCTTATCCTGTTGAATCTGATCCTGGTGCCGTGCTGCCTGCTCGGCTGCCCAGGCCTGAGCAGCCGGTTGTGCAGTGACAGGTCTTCTGAGTTGGGTGCTGCCGAGAGACACAAAGGGAGCTGAGGCTGGTTTCCCCAGAGGTGTGGTTGCTGGTTGCCAAGACTTAACCAAGGTGTTTCTTCTGGATTGGTCCATTTTAAGACTAACTCTATCCCCAGTATTGTGAGGTATGTTGTGGCTGTTAGGAAAGTTAAACGTGTTATTGTTTGCACTTTCAAAGCTCCTTCTCCCCTGATATTTTCTTTTAGCTGGTGATTTGAAGTACTTCTGAAAAAGAACATGCAGGACAGTACTGACAGGCAGTGCTCAGCACTGTTTTACTTCCCTCTTTCATTTCCTACTGCTTTGTGTTGCTTTGTTGCTTGAATGCTGAAGGAGTTTTCATGGCAACAGCAATTTTGTAGGAAAGGACTGTTACTGAAAGCCGTCAGATCTCCAGCTGTAACCAACTCTCAGCTTACTAGGTGATTACTGCTGCTTGCAGCTGAGACCACCCTCTATTCAGAATACTAAAAACAATAAAGTGTGGTTTAGGAGCAAAGGATGCTGTGGAGATTGCTGCTGAGTATATCAGGAGGACTTTTGTTGTGGTTATGTAGCTGGAGCAAAATCTTCTGAAAGCTGCTGGTTTCCCTGGTGTGTTTACTGTCTCCATTGGAAACAAGACTGGCTTGCGAATAGTCACCAGAAAGAGAGCAGAGACCCAGCGGGACAGCTGCTGGGGCATTTGGTATTTGGGACAGAGCTTGTTTGTTTAAAATAAGGTATTTCAACTAATCTGTGCTTTGAAAGCTTGTAATTTTCAGATTTTAAAAAAAGAGAAGCCAGAGATCTTCAAAAGTCCTTTTTAAGTACTTAGAGATTTCTGCAGAAGGTATTAAGCAACTATGAGAAGTAGTTTTTAAGTGACTTTAAAGGGCTATTAGTATACAAAGTGAGAATTTTCAAAACAGTGTCCAAAATGTCAGTGTTTGTCTTTGCAGTTGGCCTGTTTGGCTTTTGTGGTATGAAGTCACTTCCTCAAGTATTTGTGACCTTGCAGGAAAATGGAGTATTTTAAGTATAAATTTCCTCTGAAATTCTTGACTGACTTGTTTTTGAGTAGCGTGGATTAGCTCCAGATGAATTCTAGTCTCTTGCTTCATCTTCCTGGTAAATGCTAATGAACTTTGATTCTACTTTTCTAGGATTTTTTTGGCAAACTTACTTGCTTGCAGTATTGGGATATACTTGCTGAATTTGGCAGATAATATCTTCTAAAGTAGTTACAACTATACAACAATCCAAACACTTAATGTAGACGTATTTTAGCAAGAAATACTTCTATATTTGGAAAAATTATTCTGACTTTGAACATTGCAGTAACATAAATTAAGAAAAGGTAAACTCCACCTCAAACCACAATGTTTGCTTTGGGTTTGAATTAAATTTTAGTAGACTTTTTTGTTTGTTTGCTTGTTTTTCTGAGATAATTGAAACCTAAACAGTGATTTTCATCTCTTTCAGCCCAAAAGCAAAAGAAGTCATGTAGCCATGCAGTATTATCCTGGACTGAATGAATGAATTGTTTGCCAACCTGGCCTGATAGTTGTCTCTGTTCCTCTTGTGGAATCTGCTTGTCCTGCTGCGTTTATTCCAGGGTCCTCTCCAAGTTGAAGTGTGTGCAGCTGGTTGGAGAATGGAGTTTCAGCAGCATCTAACCTCGTTAAGAGGAAGTTGAGGCACGTTTGGAAGATCAAATGCATTAATCAGTGCACATGGGATTTTAGCTCCTCATCAGGTCAGGGAAGGATCCTGGTGGGAAGTCTGTTCGTGTGCATGGAATGCTTTTTGATTCTGGTTTACAAAGTTTTTGTGTTATTTTAATTCTAATCCTGCCTTCAAGTCAATTTCTGCAAATTAAACATAATAATAAACTGAAAATGGTTATTGAGCTGAGTACATAGCTTCCAAATAACTGCTTGTAGCCACTGAATAAACTGTATGGAAAGGTTACAAGCAGGTGTTTAAAGTCTACACCATTGAGTGCTGTCTGGAAAGATGCAGGAGTTGTAACTTCCCTGGTTTTGATGCAGGTGTAGGGCTATGAGGTGCCTCTTAGAATGTTTTACTGAAAGTGAACTCATAGGTTAAAGCCAGATCTGTTAGTTTGAGACCCCACAACCTCAGGAAAGAAGTTTTAACAATTTAGGACTTATTTAGGCTTTAAACAAAAGTAAGCTATGAGTCTACATGCAGTTACTGGATGTTTCATAGTGTTCAAGCCATTTCTCTGGAAATAATAGATGGGAATGGGATAGTGGCTGTTTAAATAAGTTGGGTTTTTAAAAAAATATTATAATAATATGACTTTAAAATGTAGCTGCTGTTCCAAAACCAGATGACCAAGAGCTGATATTTTGAAAATTATCCCATTTTCTGTTGTGACCAGCAATCATTAAGCGTTATGCACCCTTAAAGCACATCAAGGTGAGTGCAAGGATGATGTTTCTGGGTGTTTAGAATTTTAGATTCCTTACTGGATATACTAGTATCCCATTTAGGCCTTTTATTAGATGAACTGCTGCAGATGCTGAACTGTTTCCCTTCATATTACCATCTGCCAGTTTAGCATTTTATTTGTTCATTATAACAACTCGGGGCATTTAAGGAGCTAGCTCATTTGAATTGGTACGACTGATTTACTGTGTACTTCTTTGCATCCTGTAGTAGTATAAGTTGATGTTTATTGTGGCTTTGTGCCATATGTATCTATGTAAATTGTTTGTAGGATCTTTATTTTTTGTGTTTGGGGACATAAAACTTGAAAAAAGTTATGAGTGTCACTATAGGAGATGGTGCCTTTGCTTACTTTATCTGACAAGCAGTGTTGGTGCCCGTCATTCTGAGGAAGAACTTGACTGAGGTTAGTCTTTTGTTGTTGCTGGACAAGTGATGATATGCACTGCAAATTCATCTGTGAAAAATGTGTGAGTTGTTTCCCCCTATCAAAGGGAAAAATGTCTAGGGAGGCTTTTAATGGAAGAAAAAGGTCAGGTGTTTAGATAAACCATTTTTCTTTGACCACAAGGGGGTATTGCAGTATCAGTTATGCAAGACTTGAGTTAATGTTTGACTTAATACGCACTGTCTTATTTTTAAAATACACATTTCTGGAAATTGATTGTTTAAATTCAGCAATAGTTGAGAAAATAATGTTTTGTATGCCAGCATCTGATGTCCTGGTACAGAGGGAATTTCTGAGCTGTTTTTTCTGGAAATTGTTATGGGTTTTATGGTAACAAGCTGGAAGAAGGGCACTTCAGAGGCGTATTCCAAAACACTGAAAAACTTGATGGAAATTGTTTAATGCAAGAATACATCACTTACAGAAGGGAAATAGTAACAGGAGATGAATATGCTGCTGCTTTGGTTGGAAGTGCGTGTAGGTCCAGGATGGGCACCGTCAAAGTCAGTGAGACTCTGATCTGATTTTCCCCAGTGGTCCTACTTGCAGGAATAAGGTCTGAAATCTCTTTTAGGTCATTTGTGTTTCTCAGATTCCTCCTTTACATCCAAGTCTTCTACAGCATACATCCAGTGTTGGTGTGCACTTTTTTCCTAAGTCAGTAGTGTGTTGGGATATACAGTTATGTCTGTAAAAGTTATGTCTTCTTAACTTCAAAGACAGTGTTGCCAAATGTTCATGCCATGCTTTGTACAGTTCAAACCATGGAAGAGGGAGCTAGAAGGATTTCTGTGTTCTCCCACTCCTAGATCTATTGCTGAATTTAGAAGATACCTGGTATGCCTGCCTGTCTTTCAACAAGCCCGCCTCTCAAAGAGGAAGGATCACAGCCATATCACATTATCTGTGAAGAACAAGTTTCTGAGGGGTGTGATAGTGATTTGATGGACAGCAGAGCAACTTTCATATAAGAAAGTTTGTGAGATAGTGCACAGATTTAGGAAACACACCCATTTACAAACACAGATGCAGTGTATATCTCATGTGTGAATAAGAGGCAGGAGCAAAATCATCGACTGGAGGAGAGGGCAGCTCTCCAGACACCAACTTTTCAGAGCAGATCACCATTCGGAAGATCTCTGCAGCTTCATGAATGGGATAGAGACCCCTGTGTAAATTGTTCAGTATGAGCAGTGTTACCTGCCTTGAATACTGACATTTGCACTGTCATCGTCATCTTCCTCAAATGGATAAAGATCAGTCAAGTCAAGATTGCAGGCTGGAAGATGGGTCATGGTGATGGTTAGCAGGGTGGGGTGTTAGGTGACTGGTGAGAGGGTGCTGAGCACCCAGCAAAGAAGTGACAGACGGCAGAGCATTGCTGCGGCGCTTTCTCACCAGCCCTGAGCGTTAACCGGCAAGGGCCCTAGAGAGCCTGGAGGTGACAGATCCTGCTGACAAGCGTGTCTTGGTCTGGCAGGAGCAGAGTGCCTTGGGTTGTTGCATGCAGACAAAATGAAAACAAATCCTGCAAACTACCAGTTTGGCGTAAAACTCCTTTTAAACTATTATGTAGCTGTTTGATTAATGGCCTGGTGCAAAGTTTGCTGTAGCTTTCATAAAAAAATATAAACTTCTTTCTTGTCTTAATGGAGTTGTGCTGAGAGAGCCTGGCAGGTTGAGAGTCTGTTGCGTCAGCAGCATAAAAATACCACTGAAGGAATGTATGCTTCCAGTGACACAGAGTCTGACACTTCAAAATAAAATCAAAGTTGTAATGCAGACTGTAAGAAATGTGTTGTGAGTTTTTTCATCCCCTTTTAATATAAATTCTGCTGTTACAAAGTATGTTCACTTTTATGCAGTTTGCTTTATTTGAAACAAAAATTATTTATCCGAAAAAATATTATTTACTTGAAAAAAACATTAAATATCCATAGAATATGCAGGCCTGTTACATTAGAGTTTTCTGCTTACACCTGCCACCTGAGCAAAGTGATGGGACTTCAGGGAGCGAGCACTGCAGGGCTGGTGCGTGAGTAGGGATGTTTGGAGGTATCTGGTTTGAGGAGAAAGAACTGTAAATATAAGAAGTGTTCCTCACTGGCTGATGAATGTTTTCAGTTGGTATTTCAAGTAATTTTGGTCTTTGAGGCTAGATCCTGTCAAGAAGAGATGCATGGACAACCAAAGTTGTCTTCATTAGTTAGAGTTGTTCAAGTCACATCCTCGCCACGGCAGGGAGCTCTGGTAACTGCATAGTGAAGCTTGGCTTTATTCTGTTCATCCTTGCTATTTTCTTGCACAGTTCATTAACAGGTCGAAGAGAATTTCAGTCTATAAAGTGATTAAGTGCTTCTGAAAAGGCTGTGCTTCATGCTGCTTAAGTACCTAAGGCAGCAGTTTGACCTCGGAAGTCTGGTGTAGCCCTGCTTTTCTGTGCCCCTGTGGTATGCGTCTGTTAACAGCAGCAGCTTACAGGTCAGTTTATAAACAGCTGAGGAGAAGCTGTTTCACAAATGCCACAGATATTCAGTTTTCTCTCTCTGCTACCTGGGGCACTATAGTACTTATAAAAGTATTTTAACCTGTGAATTACAATATTCCACAACCTGTGAATTACAATATATATCACTATATATTTCTAAAGTGTCTTTGCTGTTCGGTTGTTTGTTTTTTGTTTTTTTTTTTTTTTTTTTATTCTCTGTTTCTTAGCTATCTCCTCTAGCAGCTAGAAGTATATTTGTTGATCTGCACTTTAATACACTAAATGTTTCATCTGCTACCTGCTCACCATACTCAGAAGGGACATTACCTTTATGTTTTGATGTAAGATACCAAAAATTCTCTGCTGCAAGGTAGGCAGTTTTCAAGTTGGGGTACCTAAAATATGTTTTAAATTGTGCCTCTGGCTATTAATTGAAATGGGCCTGTTTTTTCAAATGTTCTTAAACTTTGCAAGTTCTGTTGGCTGAGAATTGAGCTACTTCCTTTTATTTTTTTTTTCCCCAAGATAAGTGTCAGAGTCTAAAATTGGGAAGCCTCGTCTGAACATGTCAATCACAGGCTTTATCTGTGTTTCAGCAAAGGTTTTAGCATCTTTGCAGCTTTCTGTTAGTGTAGGTTTCCTTCTTAAATGTAGAAGCTGGTGTTAAATCTCATTTCGGGCTGATGTTTGTCCAACTCTTGACTGTTGGGGATTAGAAGGAAGTTCTTCCTAAAGGCAGGATGTTCCCATAACTGGATGTAGGGGGTTTTGTGTGTAGCCTTTTCTTTGATATGCTAGAATCTGGTGGCAAGTTTCCTGAGATCATAGGAGAATTCAGGTCTGAAGGGACCTCAGGAGGCCTCTAGCCTAACCTACTCCCCAGAGCAGGGTCAGCTGTGACATCGGACCAGCTGCTCAGGGCTTTATGCCATTGGTCTTGAAAGCCTCCAAGGATGGAGACTGCACAACTTTCTTGGGTAATGTGTTTCACCACTTGGCTGTCCTAATGATGAAGAAGTTTTGCATTATATCCAGTCAGAACCTCTCTTCTTTCAACTTGTGCCTATTTTATTTTGTCCTGTCACCAGGCACTGCTGTAAGCAGCCTGGCTGTGTCTTTCCAATAGCTCCTTGCAGGTACTGGGAGACTGCTCTTGGGTATCCCAGCAGCCTTATCTGCTGCAGGCTGAGCAGCATTTGGTCACCGGTCGCATTGGCTGCGTTACACAGATCTGTCAGACGTTTACCTAGCTTGTTCCATTCTCAATCCCTGCCTGATTTTACCACATACACTCATGCCCAATGAGACACATGCTCCATGAAACCTGTAAAGGACAGTAACAGAGCGTGCTGGCAAAGCACAGTCCATTTGGGCATTCTTTTCTTGGATCACCTGCACTGTTCCGGACTTCAGGTCAGCCTTATTCTTTCTAGGGTTGTAGAGAGCTTTGTTTTGCTGTGGAGCTGGAAACTTTTGCTCCTTTTGCTCCCTGAAGAAACGGACAGCTAGAACAATGTGAAATCTTTCTGGATGTGTTTGGAGCTTTGTATTTTTAGCTCAATTGTGCAACAGTTGACATGTGAATACTCAGAACAGTAAGGCAAAAATGAGAGGAAAATGGCTGTGGCCCGAGACCTTGTGGCCAGAGCAGCCAAACAGACTTTATACAGTTTTCAGCCTGGACTTCCATTGTACCAGACACTTCATTAAAGATCCTGTTATGGTTTAATGAAGATTATGAGAGCCTGGCTCTTAGAATGGGCTGTATTCCTGTTTTCAGGACAAGTCCCAGTTCTTAGGAAAAACTTTTCCTTAGGTTACTGCTTAATTGTAGAAAGCTTCCAAAGCAGTAGACAGCAATGCAATTAAAAATACTGTTCCAGAATTAGGATAAAAACCCACTTTCTTGCAACTGGCCACTTAATGAGAAAAGGGCAAGACTATATCCTACTGTTTGTGTGAATTATGCACATGATCTACACACGCACAGTGTAAGGATTATCTACCTCTCTTTAAAAATCCAGGTTTTATCATTGTGCTGACCTAAGTGCACTACCAGCCTTCTCCACGGAGACAAAATAAAAAAAACTTTCCAGCAAAACTGAGATTGTGGAGAATTGTTGACCCGTTCACCCTGAAATATTTCTTAGAATGAGGTCAGTGAATCCTTGATGAATGAGAAGCAGGGTTTCCAAAATGCTTCCAGGATCTGGAGTCCCAGAACAGAGAGCAGAGTAAGTCCAAGCAGCCTGACAGCATGGAGAACCTGGTGCCAGGTGAGGTCTCCTACAGCTTCCAGCCTTCCTGCTGCTGAATAGCAGGAATCTCAAAGCTCTGGGATATTGGGCTACCTGCATCCTTGTTTTCTGGGCAGACCTCCAGGCTTCTGTATGTTTCTAAAAGAGTGGAAAAGATAGCAACCAAAACAGGGGTATTCAGATGTGCTTTTTCATTCTTGATGATCTGCTGCAGCATTCCAGGCCATTGGTAGTTTAAACCATGGAAAGAGCAATCTGCAAGTCGTGGTTCCTGTCTGCTGTGAATGCTAAGGATCCTTTAAATGTATCCTAAATTGTTACAATGGTACCATACTCTTGAAAAAGGCTAATTTATGGATTTTGCAAGAAGAATCTCTGTGCTGTATCTGTTTGCTCTTTGCTCTTTGTCTGTTCCCGTTCCTCCAGGGCCTCATAAACCTGCTGTAATGTGAATATTCACCTGTGCTGCATACCGTAGCTTGCACAAACCTACAGTTTTGCAAGAGGACTAGAAAACAACAAGAATCAAAGGAGACTTTTAAAACTGCTTCTTCTTTTTAAATCTTTTATCACAAAATACAAATTAAAGTACCATTTTTAACCTAAAAAAAAGTTTATGTTGCTTATCTACATACCTTTGTTTATGGTGAGCATTCAGATTAATTTCCTTAGAATAAGGACTTCTCAGCGCCATGGTGTGTCACGGCTGCTTTACTTTATACTTTCTGTTTTATGGACTCCGCTACTGGTACTGTTGTTAGCTGGGAGAAGTAAATAGACTTTGAGCAAAAGATCACGCCATAGCAACCCTTAGCTTCTGTTTACAGTTCAAATAAATGTCTGTGCTGTGGAAATTTATGTCCTGAGGAATTTTCTAAACCACTATGCCAATTGGTTTAATAACAAAAGGATTAATGCAGATAAGTTAAAGAGAAATTTGCTCTCAATACTTAAATGGTGCATAATTTTATTTTTTAAAAGCTGCCAGTAAATAATATATCAATAGGGAGAGGGTATTTTTTGGATTATTTGTCATGTAGAAAATGCATGACTGTTCTGAGGGAGAGATTCATAAGCCCTGAGCAGAACAGGAGTTCTCCCATTGAAATCAGTGTGAAAACTCCCTTGGTTTAATGGGAGCGGCTCTGTGTGTGTTTTGAAAACCCAAACCTGCTGGTTTATGATTTCCTCGCCTTTTTGTTAAAGAAGTAGCTTTTACTCACACAACACTTCTATTGACTGAGTTGGACATTTTGTTAGAGAAAAGCTAGTGGAGTAAGTTCTGTGCCTCTGCAAGTCCTAGCTGCAAGTGGATTTCAGGCCTTCAAAGGATATGCCAGGAAAGGACATTTTTTCCTTTCTGCAGCTGATACTGAGACACTGTTGCTAGCAGTGCTTTGGGGTTTTTTTTTTTATATGCAAATTAGCAAAGTTTTTTTTCCGAATTGTAAACATTCCTTATTCCTTAGAGATTTCACCCATACGTGTTGGTCCTTCAGCTGCCTTGCCTTTGCACTTGGCCAGTCGTGCAGAAGGGTTTCGCCATGGA